TAGTATAGGTATTCTTTAACCTTATTCCTTTTTGGGTTTAGGGTTTAGGGTTTAGGGTTTAGGTAATCTTTATCACTTTTGGGGGGCACTTTGATTTAAAATGCTAAAGGTTGACCTTTTTTGAATATAGTATAGGTATTCTTTAACCTTATTGGGGCTTATATGTAGTCCTACGTTGGTTTAAACTTTCCAAAGGCTAACCTTTTTGGGGCTTATAGATAGCCCTACTTTGATTAAACATGTTCAAAGGCTAACCTTCCTTGGGCTAGGGTACTCAGCCCGTATCACCCTAAACCCTAAACCCTAAACCCTAAACCCTAAACCCTAAACCCTAAACCGTATCAGGCTTCGCTCCTACCATGCGGATCAAGCCTCCGGCTACCTTGCCATCCCGGGACGAGGGGAGCTCCTCCTCAGGCCTAAAGGGTCCAAGTACTAATATGGTAGCTACTTTGTAGGTATGTGGGCCCCTCTAAAAGGGCCCCCAAATCTATACTACACTATAACTTGGACCCTTTGGAAGGGCGAGTGACATCGAGGGAGCGATCCCTCCGGAGCTCGCGGAGGGATGGCAGATCGAAGTCGAGGTGGGTAGGTGTTAAGGGTTTGGGGTTTAGGGTTTAGGGTTTAGGGTTTAGGGTTTAGGGTTTAGGGTTTAGGGTTTAGGGAGGTCTCTAACCCTAGGGCTCCAAGTATTCAAGTAGTACCTACTTTGGGGTCTAAAGTCTGTAAATGGTACCTACTTTGGGCTCTTTGGAAATTCCGGGTCCCTGTTTAGAACCTCAAAATTTTTACGGCACCCAGAAAATATACAAGGACTTGAAAGGACCCTAGAAGGGACCCTAATCTAGAGAAGTACCCATAGGCCCCAAAGTAGTTCCTTTTTGGGGTTCATATTTAGAATCCTATAGGGTAATCCCAAAAAGGAACTACTATGGGGCCTATGGGTACCCAGGTGGAGGACGTGGAGAAGGAGCCACGCATTCTGCGTGCCAAGGTGGCCGCCGCCCCAGAGCTGCCGCGCAAAGACCATGCGCCTGCGGAGGCTAGGGCGACCAAACGAGGCAGGATCAAGACCCTAGGTGGCAATTTGGGAAACTTTAAAATTTTCCTTATGGTTTCTATAGAGGGCAGTATTCACAAATACTCTTCAGGGCCCTAAAACTACAACCCAGGACCTTCTTTCTGGAAAAGGGCTTCGGTTTCTGCCAGCTGGAGGAAGCTGATCGAACCGTCGATGTCTTCATCCACATCAACAGCTTCGAAGGGCCAGCGCCCGAGGACTTCCAGGGCATGCCGGGATCGCCCCCAGTCGGTCAGGAGGTTGAGATCAAACTCGGGGACACCTCGGCGAGGCCCGGGGCAAGGGCCTGCTGGGCGCGTGTCGTCGGGCCGGCCTTGCCCATCGATACTTAGTTCCCCAATACCAAACTTTTAAACTTTTTGGGTTGCTTATAATTTAGTAGTAATCTTAAAGCTTTTTGGGTTCTTATAATTTAGTAGTAATCTGAAAGTTTAACCTTTTGTTTCCCTGGCTTATTGGGGATGTAAGGATAAGGCCAATGCCCTCAGCAGCTGCCTGAGCCATGTGCTGAAGTCCGCTGAACGACTGCTGGAGGGAAAGCCGAAGAAGGGAGGCTGGCACAAGCTCGTGGACATCTTGGCCACGGATTCACTTCGTGTGGCCTTGACGGCGTATTCCCCCAATGGACTAGCGGAGCTCAAGATGGGCATCGTCCCAGAGTCTTGGTGTTCTTCTGGTTGGCTCTTAGGACTTTAACTTTTTGGGTTTCTATATAACTATCATAGGGAGACGAAAAGTTTAGCTTTTTGGAGGGGTTCAGAAGTCAACCAAGGAGTCTTTGTTGAACTGTCTACACGACCTGGCGGTTTGCGTCGTGGCTCCGACACCGGAAGCAGCAGCTGCTAGCTTACCCGGGAGTACCCTTTTGCCCTTTTTTCTTTTTGGGCTCCCTCAATAAAGCCAACTTGTAGTAGGAAAAAGGGTACCCTTATTATTATTATTACTATTAGATATTATTATTATTATTAGTATTATTATTATTAGTATTATTATTATTAGTATTATTATTATTATCATTATTTAGGGGCTACCGGGGAACCAAGGCTGAAGTGATTGCCGGGAGCGTGCCGAGCACTGCAGAGGCAAAGGAGTCCAGCCCTCGCTTCCACTTGTGGCTGGAACAGGAGGCAACTCAGGGCCGGCTTGCTGTTGGGATATTTAGGGTTTAGGGTTTAGGGTTTAGGGTTTAGGGTTTAGGATTTGGGGTTTGGGGTTTAGGGTTTAGGGTTTAGGCCCAGAGGCAACTCAGGGCCTGCTTGCTTTTGGGAGATTAGGGAGTTTCCGAAAATAAGGGGTGCCTTACTTTGGGGTCTTTATTATAAGGATCCTACTATTTAGGGTACTATATTAGGGCCCCTTATTTTCGGAAACTGCTTGCTTTTGGGATACGCATAGGCCCCATAGTAGTTCCTTTTTGGGGGTTCCTATTTAGAATCCTATAAGGTAATCCCAAAAAAGGAACTACTATGGGGCCTATAACCATCTAAGTTACATGCCTATCTACCAAAATCAACAGGAACTAGTATTGAATATCAGTCTTGTCATTCTACTCTAAATGTTAGACAGAGTGTGTAATGGGCCAACCGATTTCGGCAGCTGAGCGCCTGAAGCCCGGGTTTGGGGTTTATATGTAGGATCCTATTAGGTAATCATAGCTCCTTTTTGTGGCTTATATTTAGGATCCTATGAGGTAATTCCAAAAAGGAACTACTATGGGGCCTATGGGTAAAGGCATACATCGGCGAGAACACCGCCCCAGAGGCTGAACGCCTCTGGATACGAACCGCCCATCGAGGCAGGCTCCAGGGTTTAGGGTTTTAGGGTTTAGGTCTTAGGGTTTAGGGTTTAGGGTTTAGGGTCTAGGGTCTAGGGTTTAGGGTTTAGGGTTTGGGGTTTAGGGTGGCTCTCATGCTTTAAGGTTTTCTGGGCCTACAGACCACAGGGCTATGTTGGGCCTCAGGGTTAGGGAACTTGCTCCATACCCTAGGGCTTTGGGTTTCCTATCAGGCTTCGATAACGGATTTTGATTTTATAGTTACCATAAAGGGGATCTCTTGCAAATAATGTGGTTGTCTTTTTTTTATGGTAGCTGAACTTGAACCCAGGAGGAGCTCGTGGCTTCCTGGGTGCCAAGGCGCAGCCAGAGAAGCCAATACAAGCGAAAGAGAAGAGCTGGTGGGAGGGAGGGGGAACTACCGCCCGGATGGGTTTGTGGGAACCTCAGCATTTGAAGGCCTTGTGCTCAAATCCTTTGGGGGACTGCACTGCGGACGATGTGCTGAAAGTCCTCGGCGCTCTTCCGGTGGATGCTCCCTCCGAAGTGCGGCGCTACCTGGAAGCCTGGGAGAAGCGCATGCGATTGAAGTAGTTGACAGGGTACTATCGGCACCTGTAGTCAGGTTTGTTTGTTGTTTCAACCGACGAAGAAGCACCGAAGATTCTGCAAAAGTTCGTTTGGGTGAGGCTGCTCAGATCAGAATTGAGATCCTATGCCCAAAAGTCTGACTTCCGTGGCCAAGGTCGTCGACGCCCCACCAGCAACCTGCAGCAAGCCTGGAGAATTACTGGCTGCACAGGCTGCGCAAAACCCTAAACCCTGAACCCAAACCCTAAACACTCATCTCTAAGCTCTAAGCCTTAAACCCCAGACCCTAAGCTCTAAACCCGAAACGCTAAACCCGAACAGGATCGTGTGAAGGATCAGGAGTTGACGCGGATCTTGGGTTCTTCTTCATATGGCAGCCTCTATAATAGCACTAAGGGTTTTGACATGTGGACTGTGTTTGTTGGGTCTCTTAGAAGTAGGGGTTTTGGTAACCTTGAAGCTTTTGGGGGTTAGGGTTTATGGTTTAGGGTCTAGGGTTTAGGATCCCAAAGGCTACCCTTCAGTTCCCCCCAAATACTCCACAAGTTGGATCCGTGAGGTGGCGCAGTGCATTCTCAATGCCAAGGACGACAGCCCGGGAGAATCCGGGGACAAGGCAGTCGAGTTGTTTAGACCCTATGAACGCTATGAACCCTAAACCCTAACCTTAAAGCGTGTATGATCTCACCAAAGGGTCCAAGTACCAATATAGTCGGCTCTTAGTTCTTAGATACTTCGGCCCGAGAAGTATTACCACACATTGTTGCTTGGACTGAGGCAAACGAAGAGCCAATCACGGCACAAATGGTAATGACCGTCCTTCTGCGATGTTGCGGGCACGGGGATCTCAATAGCTAATTGCAACCAACAGCGTGTTCATGTGGTGCTCTCATACCTTGTAAAGGTCCATGTATCTTTTGGGGTAACTTACTTCCGGTCTTAAAGGTTACTGTAGGGCTTGGGGGTTCCTATATACGTACTTTGGTGGCAAACTACGTACTGTGCAGGTACGCGGTCCTCCAGAGGAAAGCGATTGTTCCGAATGTGCAGCAGGGCTACAAAGCTGGGATGACAACATATGAGAGGTCCCGAAAATTAGGGGTACCTTATTTGGGGGTCCTTATAATAAGGATCCTACTATTTAGAGTACTGTATTAGGGTCCCCTATTTTCGGGAAACCCCCAGATCAGCATGGCAAGAATTTTGTTCTCATGTGCTGCAACCAGTTTCGATACGCTGGACGTGGGACCACCAGGTTGCCTTGCTCTCCCAATGATGATCGACGGCACTAACCCTAAGGGTCCAAAGGACCCAGTAATTAGGTACTTTGGGTACGTAGAGTAGTTATCTAGGTTAATATTTGGGAGAGTATATGATTATTAGGTACTTGGACCCTTAGGGTTAGGTCTTAGGGCATTGCCAAGTTCTCAATCTTTTAAGTGCTATCTCCGCCCTCGAGGTTTGTAAACCCAGGAT